GTTTTATTCATGTTTTTCTTGCTTATATTAGATGATGAAGAGGAAGCTGCAGAAGGAGAAAAAGAAGGCAGTGAGGTTGAAGATGAAGAATTAGACCCTTTGGATGCTTATATGGAAGAAGTTAAAGAAGAGGTCAAGAAGTTTAATATGAGAAGCGTGAAAGGTGGAGGTGGGAGTGATAAGGTAATATCACTTGTTAGGATTTATCGTATTTTTCATTTAAAAAGAGCTTCACTGCCTTAGTGTCAAAAAAAAAACGGGAAAATATGCCGAAAGAGCAAGAAATAGTTGTGAGAAAGTGGGCATAAAATACATTTAACTTTGATTCCCTGCAAGGTAATATCACTTGTTAGGATTTATCATATTTTTCATTTAAAAAGAGTTTTACTGTCTTAGTGTCAAAAAAAAATGGGGGAAAATATGCCAAAACAGCAAGAAATAATTTTGAGAAATTATTGAGAATTTAACTTTGGTTCCCTGGTGTTTTTATCAAGCTATCAGCATTATCCTGTTAAAATTTCATCAAAAGAAGTGGGGGAAAAAAATATAGTGCCTTCAGTATTGTGTATATTCTTTTTATTTTATATAATGTGTCTTCTGCTTTATAACATGATTTTTTTTTTTTTTTTAAGAAATCTGGACCAACTGTTACCAAAGTAGTAACTGTGGTGACAACTAAAAAGGCAGCTGTAGAATCAGAAAAGAAGAAAGGGGAGCTCATGGAGAATGACCAAGATGCAATGGAGGTAATGGAAGTGTCTTGTATTGCCACTATGCCTTTTTTTTTTTGGTGCTGATGAGAGGTAGATATTCTTGTTTTACTATTAAGGAAAGAATAGAAAGGAGTTGCAGGATACTACACCAAGTCACATGTTCCAACAAACCCCAAGTGCCCTAAACCAATTCATAAGCGTTCGGTGTTACATGGGCTGTGCATAACAAATGTGCTTTGGTGGGGTTAGATGGTACAAGCGGATAGATCTGCAGGGGCAGATCAGTATGGATATTGAATTACAGCGTAGAACAGTTGATTGTGCTGTGGTGTCGTGGGCCTGGAGGGTTTCTAATGATATGTTACACACAGCAGCCTGGGAGGGCTCAGGGAGGCATCCTTGGCCGAGCTGTAGACTAGATATCAAGGTAGCTGGGTCATGCTATACTCCATGCACTTGTGGTGTTAGTAGTACCAGACTAGTTTAAAGGTGGGTTGGGAGCATCTTTTGGAACTATGACTGCACTTGGACATGAATCACTCACAAGCAATATTAGGAAGAAAATATTAAAAAATGAATAAAAAAGCAACAAACAAAAAACCCCAGCAAGGCAATGAAAACAAACCAAAAATCGATTTGGCAGCCGCATTCCATCATTTTTTTTCTTTAGTATTTTCTTCCTAGTATTGCTTTTAACATGTAGCAGTGATTATTTCTAAATGACAAGGCTAGTCTAGTTGTTAGTATTTTTGACATCAGGAAAGTGGTGTAGAACACGGTGAAAGTTAGGTTTGTGAGGAAAATGAAAGAAATGGATAAAAGAATGATTGGAACTCTTATATGAGAGTCAGTTTTCAGTATGCATTCTAAAGGGGGAAAGGATTGAATGTAGCTTCTGAATAAAGCTCTTTTGTAAATGAAAACCCAGAACCTCTCAGAAAATTGTTCACAGTAACTAATATGCTAAGTGTAATTATACAGTATTCCTCAGAAGAGGAGGAGGTTGATCTTCAGACTGCCCTGACTGGCTATCAGACCAAGCAGAGAAAGCTGCTGGAACCGGTGGATCATGGAAAGATAGAATATGAGCCCTTCAGGAAAAACTTCTATGTTGAAGTGCCAGAACTAGCTAAAATGACTCAGGAAGGTAATGCCAAAAACAACCAAACATTTTGGGTACTGTTAAAGAAAAGTGTGTTGTGTTTTTATGTTCAAGGAAACAGCCAGTTCTCTTGGGATATAAAGATAATTTTTGAAGAAAGAAAATAAAAATCATTGTTCCTTCAAGACTTCAGAGTAACTTGGAGGAGAATTTAAAGGCAAGAGGGGATTCTTTGGAGCATCTTGATAGAGAAAAAAATACTGAATCAATTAGACCACAATATTATTGATAAGTTTGCATGATTATACACAAGGTTTTGAGTGAAAAATTTACCCAAGTCTTCTCCTATCTACCTCATACCTATATATCACAAACTAAAAGCTGTTCTTCTGGAGTTGGTAAAATTAATATTTCATGTTCTGGGGCAGATCAAGAATATTTTTGTCAAGGTGGTAGAGAAATTCCACATGCAACTGTATTGTAATGCAAACTCTCTTTCAGAGGTGAATGTGTACAGACTGGAATTGGAGGGAATTACAGTCAAAGGAAAGGGCTGCCCCAAACCAATAAAAACTTGGGTACAATGTGGTATTTCTATGAAGATTCTCACCGCCCTCAAAAAGTAAGCAGTTCGTGAATTATATCATGCTTCAGTTTTCTTCAGTATGATCTCTGATATGTTTATGAGAGAACATTTTTTCTTCATTATTTAATTCAGTGTGCACCATCTTTGTAGATGATATGTGCACGGTCATCAGAATGGCTTTCACTCAGCGTTGAACTATTGTCATGGACTATACCTTCTGCCATTTGTAACTTACATTTTTTCCTCATTATTGAGCTCTGTTTTTTGAATGGCATAATATATATGAAATATATACATATATATATATTTCAGCAG